GAGCAACTTCCAGCGTGTAGTAGAACCGTTTTTGATGCCGGTAGTTGCAAACTCGAACCCTTCACCTCGACCAGACTGCGAAAATAGTTTTCAGCAACATTATATTATCTAAAAACACGTACGATTTTCACACAAGTGAGGAATAATGCTTTGTTTAGGATCCAGCCTCGTCGACTTTGCTACCTCATCACAAGTCCCGTAAGAAGAGCTTCTTCACTGTTTCATTTCCAAACTCTCTGCGGACAGTCCACGTTCGTTATTCTTTAAGATGCGAATATAGTTGTGAAAAAGGAAATGTTCGACAACGCTCAAGTAAACCTGACTGAGAAAGTTGTGAAAAAAGAACTTGTGGAAATGCCAACTCCTACATGTGCTGAGGCCGCATCGGATGCAACGTCGGATAGGTTAAGTTTCGATCATGTTCATTTATTCGGCAATCATGTCTTCTACCAATATAAGTCTTCGCCTGTGGTTGCTACCAGTCGCCGTTAGTATTAGACAACAACATCTAAAAGCCACTCCGCCAACACATAACACTTCTTGAACATTTCACGGACCAAATTCTTTTGACCTTCTTACGTAAGATACTACGGGAAACAAATCCAAGCTCTTCTCACCTGGAACCAAGACCGTATTCAAACCAGCTTGTTTCCCTGAGGGTTGTTTATGAATTCACGACTTTTACCCAAAAGTTTTCAATGCCCAGCATGCCCAGCAAAAGAGCTCACCTGGACTCGCTTACTATGGGTTAGGTTGTGAGAAGTTGCTCAGCGTTTTGGTGTTTCAACTTTAAACGATCGTAACCTTTTTTGATACTCATCGGATTATAATCGAACAATAGGGCACCACTAAGGCTTTTTGCCTGGTCCTGATTGATGAACGTATTTCTCCGCAAGGGAGTTCTGAACAATGTTAGAACAACTATTAGCATGAAATTTCAGGTGGAACAGACGTGAGCCTGCCCAATATTGGCAAGGTGAAGGTTGCCAACTTTGAAATTCTTGAAATTAGTTCCAAAGCGTCCTATTGAGATTCCCTGCTGAGACTTCTACCTCAACCTTTTTCGAATGTATGGAGCAGCTTAAGCGATTTTAGCACTTCGAGTAGACGTAAATAGATGGCCAGATTGTTCTAAGATCTAATTTGTCGTCGACTTCACCTTCCAACTTCAACGTGTTAAAAAAATTCACAAAAACGCATATCTAAACCAAGGCTTTTTTGATATTCTTATACTACGAGAAGTTTCCTATCAGATGATATATAACTTGCTTGCAAAACTTTTCACTTTTCAAACAAATTTTTCAATTGAAAAAACGGCCATTACTTATTAGCCAACCTAATAGAAGTGATGACTTCATCCTCCCAGATGATTTTGCTACCGACTTACCGTCCCGGATGGTAGAGGCTTGGTTGGCCTGGGCGGGAGTTGGGATTCGAACCCAGGACTGCGCGAGTGGTGAGTGCGCCATTTGTCACTACACCACCTACTGCCCTTTTTGAGGTGGATTGAGGATATCACACCGAAATCAAAGACACCTTTATCGTTGCCCCACGAAACAACAAGACTGAACAGCCGCAATTATCTCGCACTCTTATGATGCCAACTGATGCCTAGCTCCGAGGAGATCTTCGGACGGAATCAAGGAATCGCTAAACGTAACACGAAGCTACGCCGCACACAAGACGAAGAATGTGAGAATGGATGTTAACAGAACGTCCTGGAATTTGTTTCCCCGGGAACAGCCACAAAGCTCTCTCAACTTCAAGACAAAGGTTTTTCTCCGCTAGTGAAGTCATCCGGGCGGCGCACGGGCCGCCGCGGCCCGCACGGCGCCCGCGCCGCCGCGCGGGGAGCCGGCGCGCCCCGGGCCGGGCCCGCCCCGCCTCGGGGCGGGTCCCCGGCCCGACCGGGTGCCGGGCCGGGCGCCGCGTGTCAGGGGGCCGGAACAACCAAGTGTTTTTCTTCTGTTTGAAGTGTGCTAGTTATACGAGTCTACTCGCTCGATCGCATTGTTGACGAGCTGGAGAGAACGCTTAGGAAGGCCTGTAGCAAGCTCGATGCGCCCCTCTATAATACAACACAACCAACAGGTTCCTTTAAAGACTTCGTAGTTAGAACACATACGGCAACCACTGAGAAAGCATCGTTCACAGTATTTTGTATTTCAATAAACATATTCTTGTTGTTCAATCGTTCCTTCTAAGAAGTTAAGATCCTCCATGATCCATAAAAAAGCTGATTCCTTCAAAGTACTTGTAACTCTCGTAAAAACACTGCTGAAGTTCACAATTGAAATTAATGTTTATGTTAAGGTGGAAAGTTGAAGTGGAGTCACCAAACTTGGCCGCTCTGAAAGAAGAATGCGTATTTAAAGCAGAACAATACCATCCTGAGATTATTACAAAAGGAATGGCTGTGTATGCCGTGTACTTTGGAACATATTATCCTGCTGTGGTGCTGAGGTTAATTTTTTATTCATTCAATTTTCCTCTTTGAGTTATTTGGATTTATTCACTCTGCTGTAAAATATTACCCAAACTCCCATAGATAAGTGCGCTTCCCAGTCAGCATCATAAAACTTGTTGTGATTTCACACGAGCTATTTATAGCTGAAAGCTTGACTGTAAGGAATACGTAGGGCTCCAGTCACAAATACTACACTGGTATCTGTCGGCGACCC